GCGCGGGAGAGAGAGCGAGAGAGACATAGGGGGGGTGGTAGTGATAGTGAGAGCGATAGTGGTAGAGAGAAGGAGAGAGCCAGAGAGAGAGAGAGAGAGAGAGAGAGAGAGAGAGTCATGTATGCTGGAAAACTAATGTACGAGAGTGAGGTGCTTTAAGTCAGGGATGCCAATAAGCTATTCAGATAAATCAGAGAGCGAGAGAGTGAGAGAGAGAGAACGAGAACAAGAGAGCGACAGACAACAAGGCGAGAGAGGAAGAGAGAGAGAGAGAGAGACGACCGTAATCAAATTTCCGAAAACCGTGAAAATTCCGGTTACCATAGAGCCAGGCTGCGGATAATCAAAAAAGCTACGGAAAACAGAGACCCAGATATAAAAACCCTGTCAATTGTTATTTAAATATGACTGAAAGGGGCCAACAGGATGGGTGTGTGTTTGGGATGCGAGAGGTGCGGGCCCCTCTCTCCGGTGTGTGGGTCCCGGCTGTTTTCTGGCATTTCTGCTGTTGGGGGGCAAAAAGGAGAAAGATCAGAGCATTCCCCCTTTCCATCTCTCCCCCTCTCACTCTCGCCACACATTTTCTGCCATTCTCTCCACTTTCAATGCCTGGCGAACACCACCCCTCCTCTTCGACGATAGAAAAGAGAGGGAGGAGGATAGGGAGCGAGAGAAAGACTCCATTTTCGGGCATCCCCTCCTCGATTCGAGCGGCCCTCTTGCCCTTCCACCCCGACGACGAGGAGAAGGAGGAGAAAGAAAACTCTAACACTTCAACCACTCGCCCACCCAATAATGGCCATCACCGTTTTTGCGGGAGTTCGCAGCGCCACGCCATTTCGTTTTTGCGGGCTTCCTTGGCCCTTGGTAGTGAGCGAGATTTCGGGCATCAGAAATTCTTGACCAGGTCTGGTTAAAGTTTCGTTTCAAAATTACAATTTAAAATTTAGAAAAATTGTATTCTCAACAGTACTGAGTTTCCCAAGAAATACTCCCCTTTAGGGGTCCGGAGGAAGGCCGGATTGGGATGGTTCCTACACCGTTCGAAAGCCCTTGAAAAGGCAGGGAAGCAAACGAGTTTCGTGTTGTTAAAATGTTTAGTATTTTCTTGTCACTAAACGTTTTTCCAAAAAAAAAACGCGCGGTTTTTCTACGTTAATTTTTAAAGTTCGGATTAAAAGCGGATCTCGCATAAACCTGCTCTGTCCAGTGTTTTTGAGTCATAAAAATGCAAAATCAAGTCACTTAACCTGGAAAAAGGAAACATGCTTGTTTCATCGCCCTTCCGAGAGAGCTTGCGATAGATACCTAAATCGTAACAATTTGACAAGACTGCAGGCGGCTAGAGGGGGTACGTTTTTGGGACACCCTGTAGACACCAGTCAATGCAGTGGTGGGTAATGTGTGGGCTTTTTTATCCGTTTTCCTCGCTGCAAAAGCCGCAGTCGGAAGTTGATGTAAATCGATCCAAGGTCCAAAAAGATTGCCGAAAAAACCGTTTGGATTTGCTAAAAATCAGTATTTTCGCTATAACTTTACAACGACTGTAGGTATGGGGGCTATAAGTCAGGCTTGTTATTATTTAGCGTCTGATACACCTCTGATCCAAATTTGGGGCCGATTGGATGTAACACGGCGAAATGCCAGCTGGTTCGTTTTTGGGACACCCTTTGTTTTTGGGAGACACATACATGCAGAACATTTCTCACGAATACTTCATAAACCAAAAAACACAGCTATTCCTATCCGATACCTTGAATATGCAAAAATTCAGCGAGGCAAAAACGAGAAACGCAATGAAGGAAGCGACTGGAAAGCGGGAACAAAAAATGTGCGTGCCCCGTGGCATGCGACTAATAACTACGCTCGATTCCGCTTCACCAGATCGCAAGGGCGGCCCCGGGACGAACAAGATATTTTTGGGACCTCGTGCTAAAATGGGCTCGACTGGTGTTCGAAAATATCTGGTAGGGTTAAAAATACAACTTGTACGCTGTATGGAACCGGAACTTTTGCCTGGTTATTGGAGTAGGAATGATTCTGCCTGATTCGAATCAGTGATTACAAATTCTCGCTAAAGAGAGAGAGGGAGCGAGCGAGAGAGAGACCGGCATGAAGCGTTTCCCTCCAGATACGGGAGCGAAGGATTAAAAAGCTAAAGAGGTAATTTTTAGAATGACCTATACCCGCCAAGTAATCCAGATAGATAAATGTTTATAAGATTTTTAGTCGTTTCCGAACACTAAAGCATTAAAAAGTATTTTTAGAACATTTATCATGTATTTAGGACCAAAAAAAACTTGTTAAACCTTTATAATTTTATTTAAAGTGAGTGAAAACGGTTTGAAATATTTGCAGTTGACGTTCGAAATTGATTAAATATAGGATTTTTATTTTACTATTCACATTTGTATTTTACATCTTTATTTAAAGGAATACGCATTATTGGTAATCAGTATGAATTCAATTTTATATCTTGCACTGTGACAACGGGTCCGCATGTGAAAAATAAAAAGCGTATGCGTTTAAGAAGGTCTTGGAATTCTCAAAGGTCGGAATGTTGTTGCTGTTTTTCAGCTACGTCAAACCGGGAAAAATATCGTGGTTTTGTCGTTATATAAATGCATTTTGAACTGAACTTATCTTCCATTCAGCAAGATACGGCCTCAATTTTTGTGGAAATTATCGAAGTCCCAGATATTTCCAATTCACTTTGAATTATTAATAAAATGTTCGTCCCCTTCCTTAATTTTGACGATGCCAGATGCCATTGCTACTCCGGTTACGCGATGATAATCGGCCGCGGGGGCAGGGTAGGTTTATTACAGAGGTCGACGCAGTTGTGCCTATTTGCCAATTTGCATATGCCTGATTTCCCACTTTTCCCAATTTCCCAGTGTTCGCGATGCCAATTTATGTTCGCTTTATTTACAGAGTTATCAAACAAATTTCAAAGTAATTTTAAATAGCACAAAAAAATTTATGTAAATTGCACCATCGGCGGTTGGGCCAAAAACGCGGTATCGAAAGTGTATGGAAATATTACTAAAATTGTCGTTGTAATATTTTAAAACTGTAAATGAATTGAATAATATATTTTCTATGATAATTAACTCAAGATCGAAAGGGTTATTGTTAAAACGACTTTGAAAATTATAAAAACCCACCATTTTTTTGCAAAAACCTACGCGAGGAAGAGTGTTGTTGCCGTAGTTAATAAGATCTACATCGTATATAATTGATTTAATTAAATATAATTGGTTTTATCAGTTTTTTAATCCCTACGCTTATTTAATTAAAAATTCAACAAGCTTTGTTTCTCTTCCCGCTAGCCTTCCTCGCCCGCAAAAAGCTTGCGCCGCCTGAATCGATACCGATATTTTCATTGCACGTTTTCTACAATTAAATCAAGGTCAAAAAGCTTTTAATAATAAATGAGAATTATTCCTAGTGGTTTTCATAAGAAATTGAAATTTTTAATGCTTCCTGCCAATTTTTAGGTTTTTCAAGAAAAGGCTCCGCAAAATTTTGTAATAATATTTTCGTTTCGAATTTTTACATTAAGTATAAGCTTAAAATTTTTTGAATATTACGCTAAGTGTTTTCTATTTTAAAAACTAGCTGTATGTTAGTTTATATACAAAAAGAAGGAAAAATACAAAAAGTCTCTGATCTTCGAGGTATTTGTGCTTTTTCGATCACTTTTTTAGAAAGTCTGATACCCCTCCAATTTTCCTCAATATTTTCATCAATTTCCACTTTTAATAACCTCTCAAAGGGCCGATTTTTAGACATAAATTATTGGTAAATTATGCGGGCTGCTCTGCCCCCTCCGCCTTCTCCCCACTATTTCTCGGATCGATCGCCTCTCCTCCTTTCGCCCTATTTTTTCTACACACCCCCCGGTCCCGCACCCCGCCCGAATTCTCCCACCCTCAAATCACACAAAACCTATACAAATTAATTTTCTCCCCTAAATTTTATTAAAAAGGATATGCACCCTTCCGCGCGCATTAATAAATTAGAAACCCCAAGAGCGAATTCGGCCGTGAAAATCAACGCAAAACGCCCGATTAAAATCCCTAAAATAATTTTATACACCAACTTAATTAAAATATTACTAGGAAAATTTCGATAATTCTTAAAAACGACGCTCGGGCATTTTTTCACACCGAAATCCTAAAATGAGCGCAAATTTTCACACAAAAAGTTATTCCCCATCTGGCCCCGATTTTTAAAATTCGATAAAATTTTTATTTAGTCTCTAAAAATCGCAAAACTGTGTAACAACTATAAAAACGGCTAAAATCTACCAAATCTGCTTATTTTTGGCCTAGGAAATTTTCTCTACACTTGCTAATTTGAATGCCGCGGCGCAGCTGCGAGCGCGTTCCCCCCTAGTCGAGCCACCACGCAAGGGCCCGAATCCAGATCTTATGCCTATACGTGGGGATTTTAATAATGAAGTTTATATTTATTAGGATTACTTACATAATATAATTAATCGTTAAGCAAAAATTAAGAAGGGTTAGTAAGAAAAAAAATAGAAACTCCTAATATTGAATATTTAGGCACCGAAAGACAAAATTTACGAAATTCCTTTCGTTTTTTCTTTTCAGAGTTTCATTAGTATTAATCGTATCTTTAGTTTCTAAAGCTTGTTAGAAATGTGAAACGGTTACTTGATCGGAAAACGATTCCTGGAAAATTGTTGTCTGAATTTAAATAGCTTGTGAGGTTCAAAGTTTAAATATTTTTGAAGAGATCTAAGTCCAAAAATACTAAAATAATTTATTTATTACATAAAATTATTGTAATTGGTTTTTATTAGCGCCAGAAGGCTTTCTAGTTTTTCTATCGGGAAAAGTAGCGTAAAAGAAGAACCTATAAAATTCGTTAGAATTTCTCAAGGAGATTTATATTTTCCAATTTTTTGAATTGAGGTCTTATCACATTTTCCTTTTCCTTTCCCTTTCCTTATTTCCAGTCTTGCAAAAAATATGGACGCCGTTTCCACGGCTAGCCCGAAGCGGAATGCTTCCTCGGGTGATCCTGGCTCGAGCGATGCTAATATGAACAGCAAGCCTGGTGAGAGCTACCTGGATTTGACTAACATCAAAAATATTAGTATATTTTATTCCTTTTTTTATAAATTGATTAAATAAAAATGGCCTTCCAGGCACCACGGTAAAATCGTTTGCCGAGGCGCTGGCCGTTGCCGGGGTCGAGCCGGATTCACCCCCAAATACATTGTTGAATAGTGAGACTCGAAACTCTTATTTTTTTTCTTGCTTGTGTTGCTTGCTTCCCCGCGTTGCCGCAACGCACACGCTTCGCATTTAAATCTTTAAAAACTTTTTAGAATTTAATTTGAATGGAATTAAAAGCTTACCTATTTTCCTTATTTCCCCCGCAACACATACGCACCGCATTCAAAGGGCACTTTTGTCGCACGATTTCAAAGCGATCACTAATTGTAGCAAATGTTCCGAGCGCTTCTGGCTTGAGATGTGTATTGGTGTGTAGCGTAGTGGACGAAAAATTACGTCTCGCTCCGCTGTGCCGCTTGGCAGGCTGCACTCGTTGCCACTTTCATTTTTCTGCTCCCTTATTTCGGTACTTATCAAGTTGGGGGGGCCACTTTGGTTTTCGACTTTTTGAGTCTTTCTAGGCTGGTTTTTTGTGCTGGTTCCGAATATAACGAAATCAGAGTAGTAAAACATCATTATCTAAGCGTTTGTTAAGAGTTAGAGTTTCAGCTACCCAGTTTGAGCCTAAAAATAAGGCTTCGTGCCACCCGGGGCCTAGTCGCTTCGGATGGGTGCGAGCTCGTACAGGGTTTCGAAATCGGGGCGCCCGAGGAGCGCGAAGCGCCCAGGCGCCCCGATTTTGAAAGAGTGGAGCGGCAGCCCATCCGAAGCGACGGCCCGCCTTGCCTGACGATGTGGCATGCCCAAATTGTGCATAAGTCCACTTTTTATTAATAAATTTTTTACGCTGTTTTTCTGGATAAACCCAACGGTTTGACATGCTGTTGCGACTCTAATCGCATTCAGCGTAAAAAACTACCCCAGAAAGACTCGAAAAAGCGATAAAAAAGTGTCTCCTAATAGGTACCCAAAGTGGCCCCCCCAACTTGATAAGTACCAAAACCCTAAACCGTTAGCCGCTCTTTTACTAATATATTTACCAGAAAATTATCACAAAATAAAATTGATCCTTTTCAGAGCGTAATAAAGACGGACGAGGCCGAAAAAGCTTCAAGATTGACCTTCCGGACGGTGTCTCGGAATTGAAGGGAAAACGGAACAAGGTTACCGGATATTACGTTGAGCCGGGTGAGCTTTTTGGTCTATAAATGTAATATATACAGTATTTTAATTATTTCCTTTTTCTAGTAATTTATTTTTATAAATTTCCAATTTGTAAAAATATAAATAGCTATCTATTCTCGCGCATTAATGCGTTTCGATATTTTTGAGGTGGATTTTGGCACCCAAGGGGCGAGCACCGCCCCCCTTATCGAGCACCTGCCCGCGCCGATTTGAAATTTTCATTTTCTTCTTTTTTCTTCATTTGCAGTCTTAAAATTTATTATTTTTATTAACTTCTTTACATTATCTACTTATTTATTTATTTTTCTACTTTTTATTACCTATATTATTTCTCTAAATAAGAATTACGTTTCAGGAACCTCAAAAATGGTCTCGGAACCCAACAGCCCACAAAGAAGGAGCCCGCAAAAGAACGGTAAACATTTTCATTAATTAGTTTTACGTAATGTTAGTAGCGCTTTGAAAAGTGTCGGGTTAATTTTTCAATGTTGGTTTTCTAGGCGCTACAAACGATATGCTGCGCAAACGTGTCGTTTCGTCGAAGCTGCGCGATTATGAGGAACTCTTGAAAACTGGTAAGTTGGCCTAAAATTTATGGTTTTTAAATTACAATTTAATTGAATTATAAATTTTTCTAATTCGTGATTTTAGAGAGGAAGTCGATGCCTTCGAAGCCTCACGCCGTCGTTCGCATCCCAGGAAAACGCGGAAGGCCGAAGAAAGTGCGAGGTAATTTTATTAATTATTATTAATTTAATTGTCTTGATAAAAGGAAGAGACGCCAAATAAAATTCATTTTATCGCAAAAGTAGTTCTTCTCATTTTAGAAGATACCGAAGAGGCGGAAGAGGACGCGAACGCCGAAAGCTCGACAAACGACCTGAAACCTGGTATATTGAGTTTTTTATAACTCTTCAATTATTTTGTTTCAGTTGTAAAATACATTCGACTACACAAGCGTCCGATGTACAACCCGAACGCCTTCAAAGGTGCGTTTCGTTTTATTTCGCAGCGGAATTTTCGTTTTTCTTGCGCAATCATTTTCTTTTATCAGCTATCTGGAGCTTACCCTTTTCTTTTGCACGCTTTTTACTATGGCAATACCTTTCATTCAACAAATCCTCTTTTTTTGCGATTTTTCTCGTGAAATGCCTCCTGATATTTGCTAAAGCAAACTAGTAATTTTCAGTAAAACGCCTGCTGGCTTCAATCGTCAAGAAGGCCAACAAGATCCCCGCGCGCAGGGGCCGACCGCCAAAGTTGAGAGATCCCGGTATTTCTTTTGCTTTATTTTCTTTGCCTGGGTTTCGTTTCTGTCTTTTCTGTTTCTTTTTAGTTCGTCGGCTTTACAAGTTTCGAAGATCCTTGGCTAGATTCGCAAGGGGAAAGAAAATGCTTCATTTCCCAACCCAAAATGGACAAAATTTTTGACTTTTTTCAAACGCCTTTCTATTTTAAATATAGTGAAAATGTTTAAAAGCGGTATAAAACAGAAAAATGTTATATTTGATTACTAGGCCAGCATCGACATATAAGAAAACTGCGTCGGCTTACGAGCTTCCAAGGTTCGCAGTGGGAAAGAAATACTTCATTTCCGACCTAAATGACCAAATTTTAACATTTCAAGCATTTTTCTAGCTTTTTTAGTTTCTCGACTTTAAACATAGTTAAAATTTATTTTTGATTACAAGGCGACCTGGGCCTATAAGGAAAAGGGTCTCATTCCACCGGCACATATTCTTGAATCGTTTCCAACTACCCAAATGTTCGTTTATAAGTAAAAAATAACATTCTCTCGTTACCCGATCTTTATTTCTGGTTTTTCAGTGTTCGAAAGCGTCCCCGAAACCGCGCCCCGCTCAACCACGCCGATGAAAACCGAAATGAAGCCGGAGCTTGGTAATCATTTCTTGTTTTCATCAAACTTTCTGTTTTCTAGATAATGGTTCGCATTCACCATCGCGCAGAAGCGTTTTGGGCGCTGGTAGAACGAATCTGGGCGATCCGCACCTCGACGTCGACCTCGGGACCCCTAAGCAAGGTTTCTCGTTTCCTATCTTCTACATTAACTATATACTCTTTTAGAAATCAGTGCACCCAGCTCGAGCACTTCTCCCGACCGGTCGCGCTCCATCTCACCAGGTATTCACGTATTTTTTTATTAATGCTCTTTTTTAGAAACCAGCTTCGGCTCATTCGACGATATTTTCGCTTCGCAAAAGACGGTAGATCTGCCTGTGCTTCTTCCTGGTATGAATTACAGAAATTTTTGGCATTATTTGATTGTTATGCCAATTTTTACTATATATTCGTTTAGTACCGATCCCAACGCCTGCACCGCGGAAGCGAGGACGCCCGCCAAAAGCTGACAAGGTATTGCTGAACTTCGAGTTATCAAATTTTGGTTTAGGCACGCAAACGTCCCAAACGAGAACCGAAGGATCGGTCGCTCCTGGTCGCCGATTCTCCGTCCTCTGGGTCGGCCACCGAAGAACCGGCTGAAACTTCGTCGCAGTTCATGACCAAAAGATGTGCGTTTTAATTTTTAAAAGCTAGATTTTTTTTAGAAATTACTTTTCTCAGTTTTATGCAGTTTTCGGGCGCCTCAAGCTTCCCAGACAGATATTTCTTTTTAGCGACCCAGGAGCCTCGCCCGATCGTCGATATCGAGCTGCCGGAGTTCGACTGGCGTGGCCCCAGGGACGATCAGTATCCAGATAAAGGTAAACTAAAAGTTATTGAATGACCCGACTGTTTTATTTCAGATTCGCAGCTGTGCATCGATCCACGCGACTTCCAGCAAACCGTGCGACCCCTTCCGGAATTCAAGCTTAAACGAGGTTCGAATTATTAGGCTCCCTTTTTTCATGGTCAATTCAGGATTCGCGCAAAATGCAATTTTGGATGCTGAGGAGGATAAACGTCAGGCTCGTCGCCAAAAGATGGAGAAAGAGCGAAGTGAGTTTCAGGAAGGCTTTTATTCTATATTCTACTGCAGCTTTCCGACTAATTTTCCTTTTATTTTCAGGCGCACAAGAAGCTATGGCTGCTTTACAAAAAGGTTGGTAGATTTTGAACATTAGCGGACAGACGTTTAAAGGGTTTAATCTATACTCCGTAATCCTCTTTTTTTCAGGGATGGCTGATGCGTTTGAAGAATACAGTCGCAAGATAGCTCCCATGATGCAACAAATGGAGCGCATCATTGCCAGGCGATAGGTGGGGTTTTACATATTTTTGAGTTTATAATGCTTAGTGGATCAAATCGTCTATTAATCCATTTTTTTCAGGCATCTCGTCTCAGGCTCGACGGCGCCGCATGGTTCTACAACCTCTAATAACCTAGCTCTATTCTTAGCTTTAACCTCAAAATCTATTGTTTTCTCTTATTTTTACCTGTGAAATTTGTATTATGACCATCACAAGGGACGGGGTATGTTTAATTTCTACGGGTCTGTGACTTTTAACATTATCCCGAATGTTCTAGAATTATTCTCTCACCACTTCCTGTAACATTTGGGGCCTCCGGAAAGTGATACTAATCCTTGTTCTGGTGAATTAGAATAAACATATTGCTGTGAATATCTTTTGATCCAACGTTGCGGCTTTTCTAGGCATTTTTATTGTTGCGCGAAAGAGTAGCACATTATATCACACTTTGCAAGCAGGCAATATACATTTTAGGAATACATTTAGACGATTTAAACGATAAATACCCATTTGGTCGGCCCGTCGTGTTGCTGACATCCAATTTGAGGGGGGAGGGAGAGAAAATGGAATGTTCTTGAGGGAGCACCGGAAGTACAATGAAATAGCCATGGTTTTTTGATTAAACTAAGATAATCTAGCTTTTATAAAAGCTTCAGGCTTTTGCTGACTTTTTGAAATCTATAAAATCGGGAAATTAATGGAGTAAATGCTGGCAATGACTAGAAATATAAAAGAAAACGGTTTAGCGATCGCCAAGCCTCATCTACAAGCGAGTGCTGGGTACCACTTTCGAATCGTACGGATGTGCGTCGTCGATCATTGGCTCGTTCTCGTACTCGCCGCTGTCGCGGCGCATCAGCCCCTGGCCGAGCGGAGGGATGACGCGCGGGATCGGCGGCGGCGCCATGGTTGGCGGCGCTTTGGACATCATCTGGAAATATATCTGTTTTATGGGGTAGTTTGTAGTTTTTATATTGGTTTTTGATGTTTTTGGACCTTAGAATCTCAATCACCCAATCCACCAAATCTCGATTATCGTAACGCCTCGCGATTTTTGTAAGGCTGCATAGCCCGCACGTCGCTATCTTTTATCAAGGAAAAGGAGAGTATCAGAGAAACTCCAAGCTCGAAAAGAAATATGTTTTTTCTAGTATAGTAATTTTTTAGAAAGGAAAAGAAGATCAGAGATATTCCAGGGACAAAATGGACTTGCTTTTTAGGGTATTCTTTTTAGTATTTGTAGTTTATAGTATTTTATGGTTTTTGCTCGTTACTAAAGCGATGCTATAATTAATTTTTTGGTGTTTTTAACGTGAAACAGACACCTACCGGTCGGTACGTGTTATTCGCGCTGTGAATTCCTTTTCCCATCGTGTAATGCGTGCTCGGCAATTGCCCATACAGAGATCGGTAGTAGGCCGGGGCATATGGAAGGCTATGAGCGGCCGCAGTAGGCGCTTCGTAGTATGATTCCTGAAAATTAAGGGTTTTGAAAACGTGTGATTTTTTCGCACGGGAATCTGTCAAAATCTCGAAAATCAGGATCTCTAAAATCAGAACCTCGAAAATCAGAATTTTGAATTTTCCAAATCTCGAAATTTCATAATCTCGAATTTTCATAATCTCGAAATTTCCATGGTTTAAATCAGTTTTCCGGTGATCAGTTGAACGGACCATGGATTCCGGAAATTGCACGCATACGCCCTGAATCCAGCATAGGCATATTACGAGATTCTCAAAATTCGAGATTCCGCAAATTCGAGATTCTGCAAATTCGAGATTTTGAAAATCCGAGATTATGAAAATTCGAATTTCTGATAGGTATTCGTTTCGCACCTGCGACTGCGGTGAATGCGGGGAGCCGGTAGATGGTGGGGAGATGAACGGGCGATCGAATGCGTAGGCCGCGTCATGGGAGGAAACAAGCAGTGAAGAAGTCGTTCTTTTGCTGGGGACCCGGCGGTGGATGGCCAGGGCCAAGGACATGACCGCGAGGACGAGTATGATGAGACCGAGGATGAGGGGAACGACGAGGCCCCGGAATGGGGAGCAGGTTGATAGGCTGTCGACGCGGAGTCCGATGTTCGACTCGGGGCCGGTGCACACCTAGGAGTTGGCGTTCAGAATGGGGTATGAAATTAGGACCTTATTCGTTGCCATTTTAGACCTAATCTTTAAGTCGTCTGTGAATTTAGGAATTGCTGATTCTAGGATTTATTTGTAGGTCTCGTCGAGACAAATCGATTGACGAAACTTCTTATTTTAAATTTATTTTCAGGGATGTAACTTTGCAGTGTTATCCAGAGCTTTAACAAGGAGACTTTAAGTGCAAATGGTGTTTTGGGACGAAACCTAGCTCATTCTAAAGCACTTGAAAAGCTGAGCAAGAAACGGTTTTGGAGGGAAATCGCTCCGCGCGAAAGAAATCATGCCAATGTCTGCTAATTCTTGAATTTAACGATGGAAAATAAAACGCTATGGTTTCGCAAAAATGCAAGTTTTTAAATTTCGCATCTTGCTGAGTTGTTCAAGCGCTTTCGAATGAGCTAGGTTTGTAACTTATATCAAACGATTCCCCTCGTCGCTCCTCGACTTCTACAAAATAAGCTACCTTCGTTCCGAAATTTGGTTCGGAGCGTAGTCTGTTTTCCCTAATAAGGCAAATTCCATGGAATAGAATGACCTACCGCTCCTGTATTCTTCAGCTCAAGTTGTCGTAGGGCGCAGTCGCATTCCCAGGGGTTTCCGTAGAGCCGGAGATCCCGGATTCGGGACCAGTGGACAGCAGTTGAGGGGAGGGAGACGAGCTGTAAAACATAGAACGTTAGGATAAATTTAACGGGTAGCATTGGTGGCATTGCTTTTGAAGGTATGTCCAAATCGTAGGGCCAAAGTCGAGGTTGAGATCGAGCTCACGGTTGTAAGCTTATGATTACCTGATTATCTGATAGATCGAGGTGACTCAGAGGTGGTACTGGACTGAACGCCGTATTGGAGATAGACGATAGCTGAGAACCAGCCAGCGATATCCAGCGCAGACCGTCCAAAGACAGGAAAGCGCCCATCTAAAATATTGAGTAGAATTTGAGCTGCACCTCCAATTTCTACGAATTCCTCCCCGAACCCTAGTTCCCGCTCAATCCCCTGCTTTCACCCTAGCATTGGTGGGACCAATGAAAAGCTCGTCTATCATTGAAATATCGCCCATGCTCATTTGCATACGGGCCCTCTTCGACCCTCATCCACTACCACCACCCATAAATCACCCCCCAGGGCCAAGGGGGTGTCCCCTTGGCCCCGAATTCATAGCGTATTGTCTTGAGTATGTTGTTGGCGTAGGATTAGGCTTAGGCTTCGGCATATGCTTATTTTTGGGCTAGACGTGAAATAACATACATGGATGGTGTTGAGGTTCCGCGAGTTGGACAGGTTCAGGGCACGCAGCGAGGGTAGGCCTTCAAAAGAAGCCGTCTCCAGCGCAACGAAGAGGTTGCCACTGAGGTCGAGCGTCTCCAACGAGGGCAATTGCCATGTTTTGCCGGGGAGTCGGACGAGCTGTAAGAGTTTATTTGAAGGAGCGGGTTTTTTTTGTTTGGAGCTCTAAAGGTCTTTTAAGGTATAGAATTTTTGCGCGTCGATTATTGGCATACCTGATTATTGGTCAAATTCAGCTTCCTCAAATTCTGTAGCCCGTTAAAGGCCGCATCATCGATGTTGACGATCATATTCTCGGATAGGTCGAGCGATTCGAGGAGTCCATTCTCCGCAAAGCTACCAGTTTCGATCTGAAAAACGGATTGTAGTTTGTAGTTATAATTCGTATAGTTCGTCGTTAGTAAACTCACGTTGGCCAATAGATTCGATCGCGCGTTCAGCTGCTTCAGCTTTGGTAACGTGCTCAAAATACTGCCCGGCAGATCGACAAGTCGATTGTGGTCCAGGTGAAGGGTGGATAGTTCGGTGGAGTGCCTTAAGAGGTATATAAATCTGAATAGATCATACTTACCTAAACACTGATGGCGGCAAATAGGAGAGCCCATTTCTGGAGATGCGCAACTCCTCCAGCGAGTGCAGACCGTGCAGGGTGTCGCCGGACAGCTGGACGCCGTTTCCGCTGAGGTCGAGGGACTGGAAAAGTGGATATAGATCTAAATATAGAAGTTACCATTATAGCTAATTAAATGAGAGAATGCTTTCCCATACTATTCTTGAAAATATAAAGGGATATTTTAAAAATTCATAAGGAGTTTCCTAAATTCTTTACTTCAAAATTGTCGCCTGTACGATCCACTTTAGCCGTTTAACTACATTTTAAACAACCGTATAAATAATACAAATTATTCTAGATATAATCCAAAAAATTGGTGCACGAGGTTCTAAAAAGTGAATTCTTGAAGATTTTTAAACCATGTAAATATTTCGATTTTCCCTCTTCCCGATTGATAAATCTAACTCCAATACCATGACATCCTTGATTTACATCCCTTCTTTCCAGAGCTCTTCAGCCCAACCAGCCCTGAATATGGCCCACCCTTTTGGGCAAGTAAGATTTACGGGGGCCACCCCTTGCTAGCGGCTGTCAACAGGCAGCTGCCGCCTCCACGATGACCGATTACGGCATGGAATGGTTGATTCAATTGGTGGCCCTTATTTAGGGCTCTCCCCCACCACCATTGTCCCCCCCGATAATTTGCATCCCACTGCCCTCCGAAAAGCCCGAGTGCGGATTAGCCATGTTTTCCAGGAGTGCACTCGGCTCGGCTATCGAATCATATGCAAACTGTTTGTGGAGTTTATGCAAATTTCCCATTATTTGCCAGAAGCATTACTGTAGGTGCTTAGGAAGAGAAACTGGGGTAGGCTAGCAGCGATCCGTGTGGAATTCGATGCTCTATCGACTGCTGTTGAAGATCCCGAAAAAATGCCAAAAAATGTCGAAATTTTTGGGGAACTTTCTGTGTTAAAGCATTGGCCAATGGGAGACTAGCAGTGATCTTTGAGGAAGTTTGAGATTTAAATAAGATTCTCAGTGCATTTTGCTATGCAAAAATGGTAGGAAATTCTCAAAATATCTCTGCAGGCTTGCCTTTTTAGGCACCACCAGGAATGCCTCAGAATCCTCATTTTTAGTCG